TTATTCAATTGAATTATTATTCTAAATGTTGACGCGGTTTTAAATAAACTCTATCATGAAGACAAATGTTATTTTACTCATCATAGTATACGTATATTGTCTCAAATATTATCTCAGCACACAAAGCCAACTATAAATCATTTATCGTTAATCTCTAAAATGAATGTACCACTTATGCGATCGTTTAAATTAATATCATTATAATGATAACTAAAGATAAAGAGGTGTTTAATAAAACACTTTGTTTCCGTGTTATAAGTTAAACGAAATCTTAAGTCGAAAAAGATTAGGGTGAAATGGGTTGAAAAAAATAAACAATATAAGGAAGAAGAATTTTCATTTTCACACCGACCCCATTTCAAACTTTTAACGTAATTTTACATACAACTTTTCAACTGGCTATATAATACAGAGATATAAAAAATAAAAAAAAAAAAACCCCTCGGAATTCTTAATATTTGTTTACAAGTATAAAAACAGATTATTAGCACATTATTATGCTGTTTTTTTTTAAATTCCCACGCTATAAATTACATGATTTAAAAAAAATATTTTCTAATAAATAGCAGTGTTCATGTTCACATGTATTATTAACAAGGGCATTAGTTATTCGGCGTTCAATTTAATTGTATTTAAAACTTTTATTTCTCCTACATTACGGTTAAATCGTAACGATATGCTTTGTTCTATAAAATCATATAACACTATCATAACGTTGTCTTACGTATTATTATAACCAGTGGCGGAAGGGACTGTTTAAGGGTTCACCGGTTATTTATTCGTAACGGATGAGCGGAAAAAAGTAACATATTCGTACGTAAACCGTATAAACGTTACGAGTACACGCTGTTCAGCGAACGGTCCTGTCACGTGAATAATTGTCATCCTTTGTTCGTATAAATGTACGGATTTACGAGTCCAAACATGGTATGATTCATCGCATGTAATCGCATGTTTTTTTCGCCCGCGTAAGCTTTCGTAACAAATGATAACAAATAAAACATACATCGAAAGATTCTTTTTGTAGGCAACAAAGCGATGACGATGATGATGATGATGATGATGACGGTGACAGTTGGAGACGATCGAATTAAAACCGACCCAGGACGTGAAAAGGTTAAAATAAATCGCTTCCATAGTATGTGTATCGCGTCGCGGCCGAGAAACGCGTAAAAATAATTCAACGTACGCCCGTCGTGCATACATTACACGCGCTCGCAAACATTATAAATGTGTACAAAAAGTAAAAAACTTGGAGAAAAATCTCGACGAAAAGCATCACGTAGGTACGTGTGTGTTTTTGTTGACGCTGTTGACACTGCTGTAAGTGCAGCGAAATATAATGACATTTTTTTCTCGGTAGACAATGCCCGCATGTAACTCGAGATGTGAAACATCTCCGAAGGGTTTCCAAACATAAATATTACGCATACATGGGCGCGCTCACGAGCTCGGGGGTAAAATAATAATAATAATAAAACAATAAGCAAATGTTTGCGCAGATTTTAATTTAAAATTGATACCTCGCCGGGTTGTGCAGCCTACCGTCATCGTCGCCGCGCGTCGGTGAACGATTTAACACGAACTCGCGCCGGATAAGTTTGCGTACAACGCGCACGTTTATCGCATGTACCATATACAATGAACGGTCGCACGAACGAGCGAACGAACTTGGCCTAAAATATTATAATTTGCGTACATATATTTTTTTCATTTACACGTAAACTTAATACGACGGTGCCGTTCTCACTCGGAGAAACGAAACGCTCGTACGCCTCTCCGCGAGCTCCAGGATCAAAAGGGGAAACGCGTTTCGCCGAGAGGACAATTCAAATGTATGCGCGTATATATGCATTTATAAATACGCGCGCGTGCACGGTTTGTAAGTCGGCGGGGTTCGTTGCCAGGTCCTTAATTACGGGTAGCGAGCGAGACTGCGCCGAGAGGGACGAGATCCTTGGGGACAAATGATTTCCCCCCCCCCCAGCGGTCGACCATGGTGTGTACGGTTTCGCATCGTTTTAATAATATGCACCAGCCTCGCACATTTCACACCGATTCGTCGTTACACCTACGTACGAGTCGAACTTTTCATGTTGGCCACCGGACGTTTGCCATTGCGTATTTTTTACGACACAACGCGTACAGACGAAATGTTTATAACGGCACGCGTAGCGCAGCGTCTCGTGTGCGAATCGGACCGTGGCACGGAATGTCGAAATTTCTTATTGTGATTTCCGTCAAACGATTCGACGGTTTTTTAGATTTTAATTTTTTTTTTAAACCTTTCCAAGCGAGAGAAATCGGTGGCTTTCATTTCCGTTGCGTTTGTTTTACGAGTCTACGTGTGGGGTGCGCTCCGGTGTCGGCCGTACAATAATCGGTCACGGGGTTGCGGCGTGTACTCGTAGAACACTTTTGTGTTCATTCAAAAAATTTCAACATCCAAGTGCACGTTGCCTAACCCTTCTCCCACTCCTCTTATTTAAATATAAGTTGCATGCACAATAATAAGAACATCGATCGATAATCTTTACCTAGCGCTTCACGAAATGTCGTGATATTTAATGCATTATATTAATATCATTGGATGTATTTTTGTTTTTTTTTTCATTCTCATCAAATATTAGTTCTCGCGAATAAATTCCAAACTCGTACATTGGGTCAATCGTTTCATCGATGGGTTCAAATATTCGGTTTGTAATTCATAATATATAGGTCAAGCAACAATTATTATCATTATCGCAAATAATTGAACGAGCCACGGAGATTTAAATTTTTTATTAACACATCGCATTATACGTCACGTCCCTCCCATCCACCCGAAACTTCTACATCGGGAGTGCTCATCCTCACGGAATAGGGTTAGTCACAGGGTCAGACTAGCCCACCAGGAGATCGGGAAAATTCCCGGTGGGCCCTATGCATTTTATACCTATTAGGCCCTTCACACATGAGGCAATCGCCATAGCAACATGATTCATACGCGATTTGTGCAGTACGTGCGATTATTATTTAACGAAAATTATCATTTGAAAGACTATTATGATAATCCATACAATTAAAGACTTATTATATGATATCCAAATAGAATATATCATAATGGAAGCTGCAAACCATTCTTCAGTTTTAAGGACAGCTCGATCTAATCAATTAAATTTGTTTATATTGTAAACATTATGTATGACTAAATGTGTAATTTATTTGTATATTAAGTAGGTACCTATAATAATAATATTAATGTTTTAATACAATTTATTTTCATATTTTTTTATTTTAATGGTATTCCAAATAATTTTTTCGTGTTATTATTATAACTTTGTGGGCCCATTTGTTCACTGATATCCCGGGTCCATTAAAAAGAATAATCCGACCCTTGGATGATCATAGAACTTTGAGTAAGAAATACATTCGATAAAGGTTCGTCTAAATGAAAAAATAACTATGTGTGTTACGAAAACGCGGGTAGGAAGTGAAATCAAAAAACACAGCTCGAAAAACACTCATTACGTTGAAATTGTTATCGATTTTGTGCGTTTGAACTTTACGATTTTATTTCGTGTGTTCAGGTACGTACGGCGACGGATGACTATATTACTAATGTAATATCATGTGGTAAACGAATTCGGTGCGATGCTTCATTGCGCTCAACCGACGATCGGCGACGAGCAGCAGTATATTATAATATAATGACGTGTATATATACGGTTAGGCCCATCGCCCGAAAAATGTTTAAACGTGTATTTGAAATCATCTTTTAAATGGTGGCAATGAAAATATACCCCCCGAGAACGGAAAGAAATAATATAATGATGTATAATATCCATATCAAAGCGTAACGCGTGATTTGCAAACACGAAACCGAAAGACGCGTACAACGATAATCGTTTAAGGTTCATATCACTTGCTTTTAATGCGATTCTGAAATGATTATGCTCTGCATTGTCATACTACTCGTTTAGTCAAGTACGTATATAGTATCAGTGGGCACCGGGATCTTTAAAAAACGGTTGTTTTAATAACCTTAGTTTAGAACCACCCACCCATCCATTGGACCAATAACCAATATTTAATGAATTTGTAATTAAGTAGTAAAAAAAAAAAAAAGGTATTTATTAAATTAAATATTTACATACCTATATGAGTAAGTTATCTACTACTTATGATTATAAAAAAAAATATATATAAATGTATTAATAAATGTAAATAATAATAATAACTACAATACTTGTTAAACTTGTTTAACAATCGGCAATGAAAACATATTAGTTTGCGTTGTTTTTAATTTTTCTTTTACATGGCTCAGTGTGTCTCTAACAATTTGACAATTTGTTTGATTTAGGTAACCTCTACTTTTCTTACACGTACAACAATACATGAGCATTAAAAAAAAAAAATGGCATAACTATCAAAATCACAATAAAGATTTTTATGCGAAATCTGTGAGGCTGTGGAGACGTCAGTCTTCGAGGGTTCAAGTAAGTACATCAATTTTGACAACTACACTTCGTCTTATAATCAAATGAATACTGTTTAACCTTTCTTTTTATAAAATTAATTTAAATTTCGTACGTATATTATTTCTATTTACTGGATAAGGTATGGTGTCTAACCGTGGTTAGTAGCCTATTGTTTTTCACCGGCAATTGTTTATGCACCCTAGAAAAAAAAATTAGTGTGATTTTTTAGCGCTTATACTGTAGAGACCTATTTATTCTATGTGTATTTTATATCGGTATTCATATGGTGGATACGTACATTGTTAATTCATTGGAATAGGAAGAAGAGGTTGAAAAATTGTTTTCCTACTTAAATCTAAAAAAAATAAAAAAATAAAACACAAAAATTTGATGTTTATATTAAATTCATGTAACTGAAGATTTTTTTGAAAATTTAATTGAAAGACATTTATTAAACAACGAAACAAAATTTCGCGAGTTTTTTCGGGTCAACCGTCAACAATTCGATTATTTATTATCCTTCGTTAAGTTTGAACTCACTAAACCACCTAGCAACATGGTTGCAGGATTATTACGTACTTCTTCAATTAATATTTCTTCTTGACCGGTCGAAAATACGACATTGGCAAAGTTTTGTGATTCGGCCATTGTATTTAATTGTATAAAATAGAGAGCAATGGCAAAAGTCGCTGTCAACCGTCGGTGTACACTGCTTTCGATCGAACAGAGCCGCGTGTCGCAGCAACTCATTCAAAGTTGTAAAGCCGCAATCGCTCGTTGGAAACCAGTCCATGGGGATCGCGCGTAAAAACAGTGTGGCCGCGACTGTCGCATTGTGTGATACGAAATCGCAGTTTCGCGTTATTATTATCGATACAATCATTATCGACCAAAGACCAAATATATAGAATACACAACACACGCATTCATATTTCAATTACGTTTATTGTTCTATGTTTAAATATCCTTATGCGCACGCCACGCGTTAAATTAAGGTATTTTCTTTCAAACTGCGTTGTAACTTGTGTGTGTCCATGGGTTTCATACAAATAACAATTACGCGTATTATAACTTTATGTACCACCCAGGGCCACCCAGCAAACACCCACCCGCCCAATTTAGGCGGTTTGTTTGAACCACCTAAAATTCCTCCACTCGGCGCCACTGTGTAGCGTTCAGATAATCGTATTCATTAGCACTCGTCGGTAGGGCAGCTATGGCGAGTGTTAAGCGTTCTCAAATCTCACGTAAGCACTACGATTTTAATCGGGATTATTGTGTTCGAAATTTGATGTTGGCCATTTCAAATTATGCAAATGTTCAACTCTCGCGTTCAATCCGATTTGTAAGCCCTCCGTTCGTCACGTTTGGGTATAGGAAACGAATCATGATCCGTGCAATTATTATTTCCCCTGCCGAAATATCGTCTTGATTCGAAATCAAAAATCGTAAAATAAATAAAATCAACGTTCACACACAAAGAGGATCGTCGGCGTGTATCATTATAAATCTTATCACGCGGACCGTAGCGAGCGATCGGGTTAATTTGCCAAGGGAATTCCCAGTGTTTCGTTGGCTTTTATTATTTTCTGTACTCGTAGGTATACGCTGTACGTGTAGCGCTGCACTAGGCGTGAAAAAAAAAAAAAAAAAAAAAGAAACACTTTAAGATTCCATTTTATATTTTGTGTGCACACAAACTTGGTGCAGAGATTCGCATGTAAATGTGCAGTAAAGGTACGGAGTTTTTATCCGACGTAGCTATGAGCGTTATGCCATCGTCGTCGTCGTCGTCGTCGCCGTCGAAACACATATTGTAGTTTGCTCGTGTCGTGCATACAAGGCATACATATTGTGTCATTGAGTGGAATAAGTGTCTGTAAGAATATACTGCAAGGCCTAACCTATGCACGTCACACGCACGCCTGTAAAATGGTATTTTGATCAAATTCTAGTGTGTTAAAATACTGTATACAATACGTTACTGAATTGCACATTTTTCCGTCGTTTGAAAATTCGACGGGAGTAAAAATTCAGTTAATAGACACTGCATCACGCATAATATTATAACATTATATAATTATGATCTCTGCACGTCAAACGGTAATGTGAAAAGATAATTTTTTTTTCGCAGTTACTGCGTATTCGACATATTGCGCCCAAAATTTTTTCGAGTATCCAAACATATGGTCTCGAAACAAATTTTCAATCTCTATTGCTACAACGAAACGCGTTTGGATCCATCGGATGAGACCGATCGACCAAGAGTTCAATCGTATAAATCTGAGAAAAATAGAACACGACCACGGTCATAGTATAATTCCGTAACGTGCACAAAAAAATCAGACGCCGTTTCACCGTTTTTCAACTACTGTTTCGAACACGATACATACACCTAACGGCGGTTTCACGATATTCATGCGCTTTTGCGTTTATTTTCAAAGTCCCGCGGTCGTATTCCATTTAAACGCTTTTATACGCGTGGCCGATAAATTTGAATTATTCAGTTGCAAATGTACTGCAGTTCTGGTTTTCGCTCGTTGCTTGGGCGGTAAATTCTGCCTTGCGGTATAAACGCAACAATGGTCACGAAACGAAAATGCATAAATCGGGTAAGACCGTAGGCGCACGAACGAGGATTGAAAACGGACTACACGAGAATTCACGCGAAAACGCACGTACGTTCCAACGACTGGTTCAAAAACTGCGATAGTAACCGTATTTTTCAAAGCCGTTTGCGATTGTTGAACAGCGTGCATGTCATAGACGGATATTTGGTCATATCCGTGGGGGGAGGGGCTTAACATTTTTGTCTTATCTATTAACAGACATTTGTAGACGCTTCAACCTACTAACTAGTGGCTACCATAGGCGTGTTTACGGTTATGGTTACTCTGGCAATGGCCAGATCTGCAAAATCAAGCTCCGTTTTAAATTTATGCTTAAATCATTAAAAATAATTACTAAAAAGTAAACAGATTGATTAAATAGAACAGAACTTACTAATAAATATTTTCACATAAAATATTATACATACATAATATGTCTGTGAGATAAAAACCAACCAATAATATTTATTATCTAATATCCATAGCTATAAGTACCTTTGTAGTTATAATTGTACGTCATGTTATAGACCTTTTATTTTTTTGAAGAGAGTGAGTATATTATTTACTAGCTGCAGCTACTATAATAGCTACAATTACTAAACATATACGTTCTCGAGGCAGTATAAATCACTCTTTGTCTTCATATTTTAAATGAAAATTTCAATTTTCTTAATGAAAAATGTTATTTGTCATACTTGCAAACAATTTTAAGACGCGCATGTGGTGGCTACGCCTACTATATTCTAGTTGAGGCACCTAACATAATATAGGTAATAGGAACATAAAAATATAAAATATTGAATAGCTACTAATTTTTTTTTTTTTTAATTGTATAAATCTATTCCTTTATTTCTTTTGTGGTACCTACAAAATATGGTTTTCCCCGATAACGATAGTCCGTAAATATTCCAGACCATTATCGTAAACCAACCAAATAAAATAAAAATTACAAATAGCACGTATTAAAATATACTATTTATTTTGACGTCCGGTGTGGTTTGATTACGTTCAGTGTAAGCACCCCCCCCCTCTCCACAATATCCGCCTACGGTGCATGTCCGTGTTACAATTATTGACGTCACTGTATGCGTGTAGTCAGTGGCGTACCTGTGCGGACGGCAACATTGGAATTTGATCCCCCCGAGAAGTTTTTCGATGCCATAATGCAAATTAATTGTTCAGCTTAAATAACGTAAATTATAAATATTTTTAATTTTCACTGATTATAATCGTGTTCGATATCAAAAGTTTTTGATATCACATATCATTGTAATATAAAATATCAATATTCGACCGAATTAGGAGTGATGGTCACATATAGTCACTATTTTATAATGTGGTTATCATTGATATCAAGTGATCAACAGTTTTAAGTAATAAGTAATAGTAATAATAAGTAATCAGTTTTAAAAATTTAGTTATAATTTATAATAAAGTTTCAGATTATATTCTAACCATAAAAATTGTGCAATTAATTTATGCCCCCCCCCCCCCAAAAAAAAAAATGCTTTACAGGTACGTCACTGCGTGTAGTCTGCGAATGAATTAGAATTTATGTAGTCGCACCGTATTACGTATACGTAGTAGTTCTACATAAATCCGTTCCGGATTAATATTTGTGTTAGTAAAAGACGACAAGACGCGCGAGTCGAGCTTTACAACGATTCGCACGGATCGGCGCGGGGTCGACAGCGCGGACGCCGGCAAAATGGCGTCTCGTTACCTTTCCAAACTTATCGGGCACCATGGTGTATATTCTAAATGCACCATTGCGGATGATCGTCACAATTTGAAGACAAATGGAAATCTTATGATCAACTGATGACGTGCATGTGAATTATGTAAAAGTGTGTGCAAGAGTAAGATTGTATCTCTGATCGTACAACAAATTATATTTATACATGTAAATCATGGCATGCGTTAAAAGTTTATTTTTTTCAGCGTGAAAAGAAATCCGGGTACGCCGTCGACCGACGGTTAAGTACCAAATATATAAGGGACGGAACGCGAATACATGCGCTTTTGTTGTCTTGTGCCTTCGGATAAGTTCATGACGTCACCGAGTTGTCGCGCATTGTACAAAAAAGTAATAACAATAATAATATAGTCTTATACAAGCGAGGCACCTAAGAACAGCGAACAACCGGCATAAGTTTTAGACAGCGGAGACAAATCGGTCAAAAGGAGGAAAAACCATGTTTTATAAAACTTGCTCTTTAATTGTTCCCACAACCATTATAAATGTTCTAACGACCGTGAATGTCAATACTTTATACCTACAACCTAACTACAAAATCAAAACTTTTCGGTTACGTTAGATAGATACAATGAACAAAAGTATACACTAAGCGTTTATAATGATTTCCATCACCGTCACTGAACCGGCAAACGGTACGATACAAGTTTAAAAAAAAAAAAACACTTGGCTAATTAATTATACGATCGAAATGAAGTTAAGAAACCAACCGTGATATATATAGTGAAGACGTGCGTTTTTCATATGATCAATACATGACGTATGCACGACTGGTAAAACATCGTCTGAGATGAGTCTGAAATGACTCGAAAATCTGTTGTGGTTAGATATTTTATAATTGGATATTGCGAACTGTGCACAACTGGATAAACCATAAACTTGTGCGCACCGGGATATTTATTTATTTTTTTTCCGTTGCGATCTCGATCACTGCGTTTCGTGTTGGTCGATTCGTGATACGGCGATAATTAAAAAAATAGAACTATCGTTCAAAATCACGTTACCTAACTGTCCTAACGCAGTCAGTGTGGACAAATAAGTAAAATCGGAAAAGCGATGCCTTATCCTCGGTGGAACTGAAGTCGAGAGGGGTATAATATACACAAAGGCATATTGAACTCGTACATACAGCGAGGCGTATACGAGTAAAGGTATGCTATGAGTTCTACGCGTATGCATGTAAGTATATTCTAATAATATTATCGTCGTCGTCGTGTAACACGATCGGAATTCGAAAAATATAAAACACGTCAACAATCAAAATCGTCCGAAGACGGCGTTTT